CCGGCTACGGCCTGGGCTGGCTAGTCGGGGCGGCGACCGGCGGCGATGGCGACACGGCGGCGACGAGCTGAACAGGGGAGAAAGAGAGTGAGCCGGGGTGAGGGTGAGGGAGAGAGGATCGGGGCGAGGGGAGAGATGGCGGACCGGCGGTGAGTGGCCGGGCGAGGCTAGCGATGGAGGAGCCGGCCGGCGGCAGCAACAGCGGGGGCAGGCGGGCGACAGCGCGGCGACTCGCAGCGAGCGGCGGTGGGCGGCACGGAGACGGACGAGCTCGGATCGGCGAGCTCCCAGTGCGCGAACAAACGAGCGGCGAAGCGACGGCTGAGCTCTGCGGCGGCAGGAGCGGGCGGCGAGCGGAGCAAGGCGGCCGAGTGAGGCGGCGGCAGCCGAGACAGAGCGGTGGCGGCGAGCCAGTGGCGCGTTTGGGAAGGAAAGGAGGCGGCGTCGGGGCGGGGCTTCCGGGCGACAGCGCGGTGCGGCAACGGCGCGAGGAAGACGGCGGCGGCGCTCGGCGGTCAGGCGGGCTCGGGCGGTGGTCGGCTGGGCGAGCAGGAGCGGGGCAAAGCAAAACCAGACGCCGGCGAAGAACAAGGAAAAGAAAGAAGAAGAAAGGAGAAGAAGGAAGAGAGAAGGGAGGAGAGAGAGAGAAGTGTGTCGGGGGGTTGGTGCGCATGGGTATGGGCGGATGGGGCGCAAGCGGGGGAAACGTGCGCGTCCGGCGACCAGAGAGGGAAGAGAGAGGGAAAGAGAGAGAAAGGGAGAGAGAGAGAGAGAGAGAGAGAGAGCAGGACAGACGTGATGATGGGGGGAAGTGCGTGCGCGGGCAGAGGAGAGAGAGGAGAGAGAAAGAGAGAGAGAAAAATTTAAATGTTCAATCATATAAATAATGCGATTAAACGGCCCATAATAAAAACTGACAACGATTTATCGGTCCAAATTAAACCTCGAATATAATAAGGGACAAAGGCCAAATCAATTAAATCAAACTATAGCGAGGGAGGTCTACTAGTCCAAATTTGCACCTGGTCAAAAACTCCCCTTTTTCCATCATTGCTGACAATCTCAACGGCTACGATAATATTGATACCGTCCAATTTATTTCGTCTGAAACTCCCGAAAATCGACGCCAAGTTCGGGGTCTAAATAACGGCCAAATTCGATCGAGTGCGATTCTAGCGAAATCTCTATTTTAAAAACGAGAACCCGAGAGTGATCAGTTCCCGGGCGAGATTCCATTATAAGCGCACTGACGGATTACACGTTTTATAAATACCAAAAATGGGCCAAAATTCGGAATGTCACATAGACGGCATCCGAACCCCCGTCGGTCATCGTCTAGAACCCCCGCCTAGACGGAACGTGTCGTGACCATGCACACACTCAACAACCATTACCGATTCTTATCTTTAAGAATTAACCAAATGCCAACTAAGTCTGTACTCATCAATTAAAAAGCCTCGCCTTTCTTTTGTAACAAAATCTCCGAAAAGTCCCCGAGAGAGAGAAAAACCGAGTATGCACAGAATCGGGGCCAAACTGGGCAGTAACATAGTCACCGAATTTCCTTTAAAATAAATAGTAAATCAACTCCAAAAATTTTTAAATTTGGATATATTGTATAAAACATCTTGATAAACATTTTTCATGAGGACACAAAATCCAGTTCTAACTGTAAACGCCTCGTTTTGACACTCAAATCCGTACAGAATCCGGTTCGCTCGGACAGTCCCTCAAACCATCAAAATATAATTCATTCAGTACCCAAATCACTTTGGAAAGCTCTGAAATGTTTATATGTCATAGACACAAGTGTTTTTAACAATTTTCTTGAAGGAAGTTTGTTGAAATAAGGTCTAGCAAATTTTATAAAAATTTGGACAGACAGGAAGGTCGGGTGAACAGTAACTCCGGCAGCCTTGAGACGGTCCAAAAACCAACTTCCGAATGACCCCAAACAACTTCCAAAAATTCTTAATTTAAAGTATTTTATACATCAAGATGTTGGGAACAAATTCCATGAAAAAAACTTCCTCAGATTCGGCCCACAATGATCACCAAAAAATAACACAGCACAGAGGTACAGTAACAACCAGAAATCCGAGAATCATTAAACTTGCACCATTGGGCAAATCAAGCTTATACAACCACTAAACCAACTATCCACAGCCCCTAATCCATCCCTAGACATGCCATTAGTAACCCACTAGCCTAACCAAGGATTAGGAAGTCACTTACCAAGGGTTTAAGCAAGAAAACCGGTGAACAGGCAAACTGAGCTCCGGCGGTGAACAGGGATGGACGGGAATCTCTGACGACTTTCCGGCGACCAGGCTGGGATGGTTGGAACGAGCACAAGATGGTGGTGGTCGGGGTACCAGGAGTGAGGCCTAAAGAGAGAGAGAAAGAGGGGAAAATGGGTGTTTTCCAGTTGGTTTCTGGGCTAGTTCAGGCTTTTGTGAACAGTGCGTACTCCGGCGGTCGGACGGGTGGCTGGACGACGATTCAGGCGGCGAGTCCGGTGGCGTCTGAACCGGAGAAGCAAGGTGGAGGTGATGGTACTTAGAGATTGGGCCGATTCCAAGGAGGGAGAGAGAGAGAGAGCTCCGGGAATGAGAAGAGAGAGAGAGAGGGTCAAAGGTCAATTATTATCTACCCACCCCACTCACATAAATCAAGGGCCAAGATCAATCTATTAATCTCATCAAAGATCCAAAGGCCACAAATGAGTCTTCTAAGGCAAGATGGGGAAAATATCCAAGGGCAACTAAGGAACAAGCAAAAAGGAGAGGGGGCATTCTTGTCCAAATTTTCGCTTATGGAGGGAAATGTAATTGTCCGAATTGCCCTTCAATATTTCAAAAGTGCTCAATTAACACAGGGGCTAAATGGTCTTTTTCCACTCTCGGTCCAAATTTCGATTTTTCCGATAATTCCAATCGATCCGATAGTTGGCCACGCTAAATGAGACGACGTCCGATAAATTAGTCGTGGAAATCTTGAAAATTCGACATCCCAATTCGGATTCTAATTAATGGCCAAAATCCAACAATCGCGACTTTAGTGTATCTCAAACTAACGGGTGGCTTTTAGGAGTTACGCGTATCGACACGTGGCCGATGACATCGAGCCACATCTAAGTTTACTTGAGGCATGGCGATCTCGGTCATCATGTAATTGCGAGGGTCAATCACTAGTTCCGAAGGACACGATCTTTCGGATTAGGTTTAGGATCATTCGAAACTCATACAATGGTTAAGCGGAATCACCCACGTTCCGATCGTATAAGATTTGCGAATCGTTCCATAGCCATCCTTGGATCGGTCTCTAATGGTACAAAATATTCCCTTGTCAATCTTATGATCGAAGTGCCAATCCATGATCAAGTTCTTAGGTCCACATACTTAATTCCTAGCTAGCCTTTCCCTAACGGTTAGTATCTCGAGAGTGATCAATTTCTGAGTGAGATTTTACTGAAAGTGCATCGAAGAAATATTCATTTCATAAATCCCGAAAATGGATCGAATTTCAGAATGTCACATTTGTAGTCTTCACCATATGTTTGAGTATAGCCCTTGGCAATAAGTCTTGCCTTGTGATGTTCAAAGGAACCATAATTCTTCTATTTAATTTTAGACACCCATCTATAGCCAATGAAACGCTTTGCTTCAGATAAGGTAACAATATCCAAGTGCGATTTTTATCGAGTGCTTCTAGCTCTTCTTTCATAACGTATCGCCACACTTGAGAACTTCTGCCTTCAAGAAAGGTAGTATGTTCTTTTTTAGCATCGACAACTAACAAAAAGCATGGAAGACAAGCAGATGATAAAGAATAGTATGTTCTTTATCGTAGCATGTATAATCCTGTATAGGAAATAGAGCAAAATGATAAGTGGTGAAGTCACAAATTCCGGTGGATGGCTATAAAATCCGAGTGATCCTATCAATAGGAGCAGAAGTGGTGGGTTGTGATGGAATGAAGTTGAACATGGCTCTTTTGAAAACATCAACCAAGTGAAATTTTTTTCCTAGACTTGGTTCATGTGGATCAAAGCGGTCGAACCATCATGTGGGAAAAAATGTTTGAACGACTTATTCTATAAAGGGCCATATAGTTCCAATAACTTTTTTTTGATTGGTGGATTAGAAGAAATTTCTTTCAACTATTCTTTTGATTGGTAGATTACACACTATGGACATTATCCATTTTTACTTCTAGTTAAGATTGCATGTAGGCGATATACATGTTCGTAATTCACCAATTGGAGACATAGTTGAAGAAGTTTCTTCCAACCTAGAATTGAGGAAAATATGCTACTTTATTATTATTTAGTTAAGTTTGTAGGCAGATGATATCTATATATTTGTAACCATCTATCAAAGGTCTTTCTTCTAACTGGGGATGAGGAAAAACACAACCCTTTGATAAATTACATTATGAACAGAGCCAACTACAGCAGAGAAAACTACAAAAATTTGCTTGTTCAGAGTAGGGACTAACGTAAATACCAATATTTTGCCATATAAGATTGACATAGCTTAGTAAACTAAATCACTTCTCTAACAATTTCCAACACGACCTAATTACACTGCATGGGCCCATACGTAATTAAATATATCATGTCAAGCCTGATTGCCTTCATTCCATGAATGGGTCAATTGTTTGTACACAAATAAAAAATGTGTCGTGTGTGGATTTACCTTTTTAACCTGCTTACAGCATGGCATGCTTATACAACTTACCGTGTTAATTGTGTTAAGAAGACACATTGAGATACATTTAGACACATTTAATCACATTTCACATTTAAAATTTAAAATTTATTAAACATGCGTGTCATGCGTGTAATTTACACATGACATAATTATGACACGACATGAAGACATGAATTGCTGATCTGATGTCCGATGGGTTTCACTTAGGGCCCATTGTCAGTGCGTCCACGTGAACCTGAACTACAGGGAACGAGTCGCGACTATAAAACCACGCTCTACCCACCTCTAAAATAGGCACTATAATCTCCCCTTCTAAATAGAAAATCTCAAAAGGATGAAGAAGCTTTCTTGTTTTGGTAACAGGTTGGAGCCCAACCTGCCTAGCATTCAAAACCTCTCTTGCCTCCTCCACTCTTGCCACCCTGTGGCATCTTCCCTCCTCCGCAAATTGTCCCGCCGAGCCAACTCTTTCTGGACTCAACTAGCTTACTTCGTCCTCGTCTCCGCAGTCGGCTATTGGGCACTAAAGCTCTGCGAGCCCAAATCATCCTCCTACAAGCCTCGTGACCTCGATGTGTTCTTCACCTCCGTCTCCGCAACCACGGTATCGAGCATGTCCACCGTGGAAATGGAGGCCTTCTCCCACTCCCAGCTCGTCATCATGACCCTCCTTATGCTCTTTGGCGGGGAGATCTTCACTTCCATGGTCGGGCTTCATCTCTCGAGGTACAGATTTGCCGGACGTGATCATCACAAGGTGAATTCCGCCACTGCTGACCACTCCGACAAGAACATTGAACTCAAACCTCCTCCTCTCGACCAGGTCAATGGGGCCGATACCTTCAAATCTGATCCCGAAATGAAAGGGACGCCGTTGAAGCCAGCCCCATGTGGCGATGGACTCGTCAAGTACAGGGCAGCCAAGTACCTGAGCTACGTAGTCCTAGGTTACCTCATCATAGTCCACGCAGGCGGCTCAACTTTGCTTTTTGTGTACATTAGCCTCGTTCCGACCGCGAAGAAAGTCCTTTGGGACAAAGGCCTCGCCGTGCAGATGTTCTCCGTGTTCATGACTGTGTCAACGTTCGCCAACTGCGGCTTTGTCCCCATGAACGAGAACATGTTGGCCTTCAAGCACCACCCGGGCCTCCTGTGGCTGCTCCTTCCACAGGTCCTCCTCGGGAACACGCTCTACCCCCCGTGTCTCAGGGTGGTACTCTGGCTCCTTGAGCGGGTAACGGGGCGAGCCGAGTTCGACTACATGCTGAGGAATTCCTGGGAGATGGGGTACGCGCACTTGCTCCCGGGCTTTCACTGCCTTTGCTTGGCCTCGACCGTGTGGAAGTTCGTGTTGGTGCAGTTCGTGGCGCTGTGCTGCATGGAGTGGGGCTCACCGTCCGTGGAGGGCCTGAGCCCGTACGAGAAGCTTGTGGGGGCTCTGTTTGAGGCGGTGAACACCAGACACGCCGGCGAGTCCGTCTTCGATCTCTCCATCATTTCTCCGGCAATTTTGGTGCTCTTTGTCCTGATGATGTGAGTCTCTCTCTCTCTCGTTCTCACACGTGCTCGCGTGCATGTGCGCACATAAAATCCTATTCCCTGCCGAATTCGCATGGTAAATAATGCAAACACAAATTAAATAATTAGATAATATTCATTACTAAATTGACTCTTAACCATAACAAAATACTTAATATTTCGATTTCATAAATCCACTTTAATATTAAATTTTATCTTTATAAATTAAACGGTGTATGTTTATGAATAAACATTTTTCTATTTTGTCACGTTAGTCAATGGCCTAGATTAAATTAAGATATTTACATTAAAAGGTTTAATCAGTTGAACTTATAAAATACGGGTTAATACTAGATTATACAGTGTCATGTGCTTTATTAAATTTGCTTCCTAGAAATGAGTAAATTGTTTCACTTTCATCCAATATTAATTTCTAGCGTCCCTTCTTGACTGATTTTGAGGCTCGGACTTTAGTCTTTAAATTTTCTGACTTTTTTACTTTCCGTTGACTTTCTTTTTAACAATTACGTGTTCATAGTCTGGTGACTAAACTGGGGACTTTTTAAAAAAATTTCCTTCACATGTCATGAAAGGTCCCCTCTCGGGTTGCAAACCTCAAAACTATTTCTACTAACCTTAATGCCCCGGTAGAATTCTGAAAAGAATAAGTATAGTTTCGTGTACCCTGCCCCAATGGGATTTCATGAAACTTCGTAAAGCACGGAACAGAGGAAAGGCATGAGCTGATGTTTCATTCTTTTCTTGTCTACTTCTATAATTGAATTAGTTTGCAAACCCTTTTAAGTTTATCATATTTTCGTAGGATGATGACACGTGTCATTAGATTTTTACCATCTACAATTATCGCTCAATATTAAAGAGACAGTGTCGAGATTTCACGAAGTGATCTCAATTAAAACACATTAAGTGGATACAACATTTGCGTCCACTGATGGATACCTCTGACAATCTTCCTAGTGGGAACAAAATTTTCTTTATTCTGAGCTTTGAAGAAGTCTCTCGACCCCATATTCATCACATCTCTATATTACCTTGCTTTCTTCCAAAAATATTTCGGCTTCAGGATTACTATAAGTCTAAAACCCAAACGGATCCACATGTTAGGCATCCACTTTATTGAATAGCAAATCAACTTATCAGATTAGTGGGTGGTGGCAACCCTAGTAACGAAATCGCATAATGCTAACATAACTTTATTGATCTTTTTGGTCTGTGCGATATTATATTCTTACTCTTTCCTCCTGCAACTGGACCACCATCTGCATTTAAATCCCAATATCAAATTCAAAACTCGGTTTTCTTCTCCAAGGGCACATGATATGTGTCGTCTGTTTTGTGGAAAGTGGACATTGGAGGAGGGTGGTTTTCATAATAAGATACTCTTAAAGAAAATGGTTTTGTTTTTCTGTGTTTCATTGTGCTTTTAAAGTGAATTAGAAGTTGGTTTTGATAGCTGTTATTGGAAAACCTAAGCGAACGTTTTTGAGAAACCGGCTCGAGTCTAATCTGGTACATGATCTCGAGACCATGGTCTTGAGACCTTGAGACCCGGCCACCTGAACCAAGATCGTTGGGAACCAAGATAATCGGGATGAGACTTGAGACCTGGGCGTCCAGACTCGAGACAACAAGGCCCGGACCTTGGAACCACATGCACAAGCTCTAAACCTCGTGGTTGATACTGAGATCTTAGGGGTCGGACTTTGGAACCCGATGCTTGGACCCAAGAAACCAAGGGCAGGACCCTGGATCCTGGAACTCACAACCAAGGTCATGGGGGCTGAACCTCATTCTTGGCACCCAAACCCAAGAATACAAGATCGGGGATCCCGGGTCAGTCGACACGAGGTCGTGAGATCAGACTGGATTTCGAGTGTGTCGGTCTCATGGTTGCGGTTCTGGCCCCTCGAATCTCAAGTCTGTGGGTCAGTTTACTATATCTGGGCATAGGTGTTTTGGATGTGGGGGATTAGCATCTTAAGGGTCAGGGATCGAGGTCCCATGTGCAAAGGTCGAAGCTGCATCCAGCCGTTGAAGTCTTGGACCTGGTCCCTAATGTCTCGGTCCAAACTTCAGGATCCCAGCTCTAGCCCCGGGGGTGTAGAGTCTAGGTGTCAAAGTCCCGGGCCTATGCGACGGTCCTGAGATCAGCCTCAAGATCCCAAGACTAGCACTCTGGGGTTCTAACCCCGAGGTTTCTGGTTCAAGTGCAAGGGTCTAAGGTTTCCGAGGACGTGGTCATGAGTCTAGCTCTGAAGCTCTCGTGTCTACAGCGATGGCAGCCATGGGCGGGGCTCACGATTTAGACCCATGAGAGAGAAATGATGAGGGAGAAAGAGACATAAAACTTGATATTTCAACATCTTTCATTTTCTTTTTTTATTTTAAATTTTTTTGGATTGTGTCTTTAAAGTTAAATGTGAGTATGAGAGAATGTGACCATCAATCAATGACTTGGTTGAAGAAAAACAGAGTCCGTGTAAGATCATTTTTTAGGGCATATTTTCCATCATTCCTACCGGTTTCGTTAATTGTGGGTTACAAGTTATAGATCATATTATATTTATGTTGGGGTGATAGTCATGATTTATGGCGGCTTATTAAAACCAGGATTGTTTTGGGGTATAGATATTCTTGCGCAATTTCTTCAAGTGTGAGCAATGGAGTCTCCTCCCTACTTTTAGAGGAGCGATCTTCAACTTCACTTTTTTAAAGACAGGAATAGAAAGAATTGGCCTTCGACTAGTCAGTTCATTAAAGCTTTTTCTTGTCATATATATTCCAGCTTGTTCTTGCATTTGTTCCTCGGAGCCGCACCAAACTCTCTTTATCCATATTCATTCCAGCTTTGTTCTTGCCATTTATTCCTTATAATGTTCTTGCCATTTGTTCCTCAGAACCGCGCCCCATATTCATTCCAGCTTTGTTGTCGCCATTTGTGTACAATCAGCCTTGTGTGTTTTCTTATGTATAGTAGAGACAGAAGAAACACGGAAGATAATACTAGAAGCACATATACAGACCATAACTGTCGAATGTAGTCAATGCAACAACCAGAAAACATGCACAAGCTTGACTTGTTTCTCTGCGACCGCCTTTTTTCCAAGGGAAAAGAACTTTCAAACTTAAGAGTGACTCGACCCGTTTCTAACAACCATTGTGTTTTTACAGGTATCTTCCATCACATACCTCATTTCTTCCGGTAAGAAATGGCGAGACGGCACCAAAAACTCAAAGAGATGAGCCTAGGAGGGGCTTGTTGACATGCTTGATGTTTTCGCAGTTGTCATATTTAGTGATCTTCATCATTCTCATCTGCATCACCGAGAGAGAGAATTTGAAGAACGACCCGCTCAACTTCAATGTCTTGAACATCACGATAGAAACTATAAGGTACATTGCAATTATTCTCGTTTTGTTTCGAGATTCTGTTCTCGTGTATGTATTAATTTCCAAAAGATTTTAACGATGTTCATTACTGAACCAATTGCAGTGCCTACGGCAATGTCGGATTTTCGATTGGCTATAGCTGCAAAAAGTGGCTAAACACAGACAGCCCGTGCAGGGACGCTGCATATGGATTCGTAGGAAAATGGAGCAACAAAGGCAAATTCATTCTGATAATAGTCATGTTCTTTGGGAGGTTGAAGAAATTTAACATGAAAGGTGGCACTGCTTGGAGCTTGTCTTAGCATTACAAACCACACATTCCTCAAGTTAGAGGTAGAAAGGTCCGGTCAACAATGTAATATAGTCTCGTATCCGTGTAGAATTCACAAATTTTGGTCCATGTTCTGTTCCTGCAAGTAGTTATAAATTGACCATCCATCATCTTACTTGGGAAGAGAAAGAGAGGGCCGTTATGTCCGTTCAAGGGTTGCTGGGACTGATACTTTGATATATCGGAATGTGTTGTAGCGATTACTGTAATCCATGTGTTTTTAATAATTACACTAAATTTATTGTTTCTAGATCCACAATGAATTTTCTTAGAGAAAAATGCAAGACTTATTACTGGTTTATAAGATTGTTATGTTGAATGATGGGTCAGTCTGTTATTAGTTCTTGAATATGACTCAATTGTTTAAAGAGCCGCTCTCAGTCTAACACATTGCCATCCATTAAAAGTGCATCATAGACATCTATTGTGTCATGTCATCTATCCTTAACCCTTAAGGAATATCCTTAACTCTTAAGGAAGCAATTTTGGCCATTTGATTAATCCAAGGGCTAGTATTCAAATTTGGAGGAGGTATATAAGGATTTTCCTTCCAAAAATTAGGAGGACTCATTTTTCAGAGTATTTTCTCTCACTAAACTCTCTCTCTCTCTCTCTCTCTCGGCCAAATCTTCTCCTGCCCGATTCGACCTATCACCGGCCGGTTCCCGGCGTGCCACCACTCGCCACAATCCCCCTCGGCGTCCCAAGGCTGATCGTAAGACCAGCCACCACTTCCGGTGGCCAGAGCTCCCTGATGAATGCCGTTTTCTCTCTTGGTCACATCACTGGCAATCGAGCTGGTAACCTCTTCTCGCTAGTTCAACCAGCGATTTCGGTAGTCCGGCGACCTTCCGTGGTGGTCTGAGACCTACGACTACCTTCCTCAGCCTTTTCCCGAGTCCGTGGTGGCCGGAATCTCTCCGAACAACCACTGAAACACTTCTGTTCACTTGATTTCTTGTCGATTGCTCATTTGAGTAAACCGATTCGATTCTCACTTTGATTTGCACACTTTTTCTTAGAGGTTCGTCGAACTATCCGAGGCTACTTCATGGTGTCCTTGAGCTAAATACGGAGGCCGGATCACTCGATTGTACGTCAAAGTGTCATTACACAAGGTAAGTTCGATTTCGTGATTCTCGGATCTTGATGAGTCAGTATGGTTGTGATGCTGATATGACCTCCAAAATATCGAAATCTCACGAAACGTTAAACTAGAGAGTCGTAGGATACATCTGAAGCTTCAATTTGATATGTTTTACGCCTTGAACAGACATCGTTTGCTAGGTTAAAACTCCTCCGAAAGTTGAGATCAGAAGTTGCAATGTTGATAATATGTTCTGTTCTCATGAACTCCTGATTGACCTTGCTCTGTTTGGTGATTTTTCTGATTTTCTACGTTCGTTATTTGAGAAAATTTTCTGCATGAAAGTCGTAGGATACATTCAGATCTATCTACTATAAAAATTTCATAAAATTCCAAGCATGTTAGGACAGGACGATTAACATCATCATTTAGGTTCCTTCTCTGTAATAGATGGGTTCCTGACCGACCTTCATGTTTTCTTCGATTTTTATAAATTCGTGTACTCAAAATATGGAGAAGTGTTCTCATGAAAGTTCATATTGAGATCTAGAGCTTTCTGATGGTACCAATTTTATCAAAATCGGAGTTCATATGGACGCTCAAAGGAATTTTTTCTGTGTTCAAATTTGAAATTCCTTTCTATGAACTCCAAAACATGTTTCTCCAAATTTGATAAGCTTGGTGTCCTTTTTTGCAAAAACTCAAAACTACAAAGTTGTTCATTAGGGTTTTATTATGTAGACTAGAATTTTTGGAGTCTTAATAGCAATTTTTCAGGGGTCAATTTGCTAAAAATCTAGGATAAGGTCCTCCCGGCCTAAAAAACGATTTGCAAACAAGTCCTCGGTGAAAACCGAATTTTATAAAAAATTCGAGGAATTTTTAGCAAAATCTCAAAATACCAAAGTTGTTGCAAATAGGGAATCCTAACTATGTAAAAATTTTCACGTTGTTTGGATAAGTTTGTTATTTTTCCCGCTATTATTTTGAAATCCCTAACAGAATCGGGTCCAGTTATTGACACCTTATTTTTTGCTCATTTTTTTTAATATTTTCAAAAATCTCAAAATTAGGATTAGGAATGTTGGTCAAGCCTAGAAACCTATTTCTAAACCAAAAATGATTTTTTTTTGCATTTTCCTGAATTTTTCTTTAATTTCTTTTAGTCAAAATGAGTGAGAAAATCAAGAAAAATAGCAAATGGAATCAGAAAATTCCATAAAAATATTCCTTAGTCTTCTTTTAAATCCAATTTCACTAATACATCATCAATTTTGGAAACTCTCAATCGAGCATGTGTTTTTCCCAAAATTGGGCAAAATTAAACCCGAATTGAACCAAAAATGCAATTAGATCTTTTCTAGTCATTTTTAAGTCATGGTATCTTCACAACAAATGATTTTAGGACCTTGAATTACATAATGGTATGTCCAATTGAACAATTCAACAAAGAAATCGAAAAACCCCAAAATTCAATTGAAAATTAGAAATTTTGAGCCCAATTTGGGAATCGTGTCCAATTCGAAATTGTCGAACCATGAGACCATCATTTATAGGGTTAATCAGATGTGGGTAATTCAATTTTGGCACTAATTTTTCCTAATTAGGTCATTAAGGCATCGAATTGAATAAAGACCCAATAACCCGAGTACAAAAAGTTAAAAATCTAGGACATGATTTTGTCAACAATTGGGGAAAATCACATATTTGGGTTTAGAAGGTTATGAGGAATTCAATTTTGGGATTTAATTTTGAAAATTCGGTTGAAATCGGGCTTAATTTGAATTTTTAGTCAAAATCGGGCTTACCGGGTCAACCCGACCCGACCCGGGTTAGTCATCCCCTTCGCCCGGTTCACCCATTGCACAATAAACCCAGAAAAAATATCTTCAAACCCGCGACTTCGACGACTTCATGTGATCAATTTAGCACGTGTAAATCGATTCGGCCAGCTGGAGAATCTCCAGCTGTCGCCAGAGAATCGTTACAACCGATTCTAAGTCGGTGGTAACGATTTTTGAGCGGGAAAATTGATCAAGAAAAGTGAAGAAAAACGGAACAAAAGGCAATGAACGTGTTCGATGAAATGCTAGAGAGAGAGAAAGCAAATCAGAGAACACAAAAGAGAGAGAAAGAAAGCTAGAGACGTGTTGAGGATCTTAGGACCGAGTGATCGGCATCTTCTCCGGCGAGAAAGTTTCGGCAAATCGGTTCTAATCGTGATCTTCCACATCTGGTGAACCTGTGATGAAGCTATTCATCCAGGCCTGAAAACAAGCCTCGGCCGACGTGTTCAGAGCTCTTCCGGTGAAGCGAAGACCACCTGCTGGAAGCCTATGTGTCAAAGAAGAACTCTAAGGCGACCGATTAACGCGAAATCTTCGTTTGATCCCTCGACGAAACAGGTAAAAATCGCTCGTAGTTTTGATTTTTCCAGAATTCCAAAAAATAAGCTTTGATGTTCATGTGATTTTCTTTTGGATTTTAGACTTTTGAATTTCGAAACTTGTTTCTGATCATTATTTGTGTTGTTTCATTACATTTGGGGTGTCAAACTTACACAAACTGTAACATCCTCAATTTCAGTCCCTGGAAAATGGCTATGGTTTAAGTTTGGTAGTTTTTCAAATCGAAACCAATTTTTACTCTTGTTCTGGAAAACCCAGTTTCGGATCCTTTGTAGTCCTTCATTTTGTTATTTTTGGGGAGACTTTTGTGATCCGAATTTCCAAACACTTCCTTCTTGAAAGTTTCTCCAAACATCTTGAAGTTTTACATACTTTAATTTCATAATTTTTGGACTTGATATGAGTAGTACAACAGCCTAATTTCCGGACCGTGTAAAACTGCCCAGAATGGGTATTTCGTTGATGTTCACACTTTATTTATTTTCTACAAGCTTTTATAGGCCGATTTTGGAAAATTTTCCTTCACAAAAGTTGTTGAGAACTTCCTTTTCTATAATGTATATAAATTTGGGAATTTTTCGAGATGATTTGGATTCTGGAAAGAGCTTACTTTGAGAAACAAGAATTCTGTTCCAGTAAACTGTTTTTAGTCTGTCTTTAAGCTACTAAAAAAGGTGTTTACAGAAAGATTCCGATTTTGTGTTCTTCATGAAAAATGTTTTTTAAGGCCTTGTTTATGACATATTCAAATTTGAGAATTTTCGGAGTCCATTTACTATGTTTTGAAGTTCGATTTCTTGAACAGTGCAAAACTGTCCGGTTTTGTCAGATTTCAAAGATTCATCATTTCTATATGAGAACGTTGGAATCTCGATTTGATGTCTTTTGGTGATATTTGAGGACATTCCCGTGCCAAACCTCGGATTGAATGAGATTATTATACATGTTTTATCGTGGAAAACCCTCGGAAATCATGGAATTAAGTATGATGCGGGGTTACGATTTTGGCATCGAGTAGTCAATTTTGTGCACCCCGGTTGACCCGAGTTAATTATAGGTGGAACCAGTATTTTCTGAGGACTTAGATCGGCTTCACGGTTTGGAAAATTTTAAAATGAACTAGAAGATAAGGTTGGACCAAGTCAAATCTTTTTCTCCAAGCCATATTAATTAGCTTGGACTTTGAGGCCTCCCATCATGATGATATGCAATAAATGAACGAAGACTTTGAGGCCCCTTTCATCATGACTTGCATTAATTAGTTAGATTTTGGAGGCACCATCATCATGACATGCATTAATGGCCATAAGATTTTAGGGGCATTTAATCATGTTATTTTGTCCATTGTCCATTAATGCAAAGATTTTCAAGATCAAGTTATTAATGGCATTTCATGATGATATTTTGGCTCTTATTCATTAATACCGAGATTTTCAGGATCATTTCAATTATGGCTTAGATTCTCAATATCATTTCATCATGACTAAGATTTTAGGAAGATTTTGTAATGAGGGCGAAATCTAGGAAGATTTGGTAATGATGCTATTTTGTCTCTTCTTTGCTTGAGCCGCTATATATAAAGGAAGCCCTCCCCTCTCTCTCACACCATTCTCACGCCTCTCTCTCCATTCTCACACACACCATCAACCTTCTCTCTTGCTTCTTTGCTTCTTGTTCATGCCGAGAAAGAGAGAAAGAGAGAGAGAGCTCACCGACTAGCTCGTGTCTCTTCTTGTTGTTCGGCAAACTAGAGAG